TGTATAAAGTTGATAGCATGTTGCAAAACAGTTTTCATATTTGTTTGTGAAGATTGACATGTTAAAAATAAAATGAAATAAGGTTAGGATTGTTTTTGTTGTTAATGTTTATATATTAGTACATCAAAATNATGTTGCAACTGTCCCCCGACCCCGGGGTCAGTTGCAACATCTTACTTTTCATTTTCAAATACAAATAGTGAAGAACGTACATGACTTAATCATCTATAAATGGTTTTGACTACAGACAGATGTAGGTTTGTTGTATTAAAATTTGATTTGTCTCTAATTCAAACCATCTCTGAGGAACAGAGTCAAATGCAAAAAAGTGTTGCAACTGTCCCCGGTCTCCTCTACAATGATTTTAGCTCCACTAAAAAAATTGACGAGTGTAAAACTTCTATTTTTATGCCATTTATCCCAAATAAAAAAACCTATCCCCTCTTTTAAGCAGTGCTGGATGTATCGTGTGCAGCTAAAGTTCAAATTAAGAGCATCAAAAACAAATAAAATAACATTTAAAATATTTAGATAAGAATTGACTTTGTATAAAATAAGGTAGAGAAAGTACACGTGGTCGTTTTTCTTTTTCTTTAATCTGCTGCTGCTCCACCCTGCAGTAACATCTCCCAGTAAAGCTCAGCAGTGGTGCTGGTTTGAATGAAAGGTACCTCACAGCTCCTGGACATGGTGGGTCAAAAAGGCCCTGCTGAGGGGGTCCATGTTTCCATGCAGATGAAGCTCTGAGGGGGAGATGGTGGCTAACAGGAATCAGAAGCGCACCCCACGGCCCGGTGGAGGTCAGCTCTTCATCCAGCTCTTCATGGGAAGCAGTCATGTTGCCATGGCGACGCGAGGCTCCATCATGCCCAGCCCAGGTCTCCTCAGTCAGGATGCAGACTTGTGTAATCCTGACTGCAGAGGAGGAAAAGGGCGTGATGTATGAAGACAGACTGTTGTGTTGTCATCATTCAGAACCTCGGTGTTCCCGTGTTCCTCTGCTGAACCTCATTAACATATTTAACATGTTAACATGAATTAATCTGCTGTTTGAAGCCTGAAACTCTAAACCATCTTATTTAAAAATAAAAACTAATAATCACCTTTAAACGCCTGCCCGTCAGCGGCCCGAACCGGACCTGTCCAACAAACACCAGCTGCTCGCTTTAAACCACGAACTGGACCGAAAACAGAAGACCCGCAGTACCCACCTGACGCGCGCCTCCTCCGCTGCTTCAACCGGGCACGCGCCGCTGCTCGCGCGCACGCACACCGCGTTGGGGGGTTGCCATGAGGGACGGGAGTGCGAAACCAAAGGACCACTGACTAAAACCGCTGAACGGACCGCAGAACTGACGGCCATGTTCTGAACAAGTGCAGGTTTGTTTCACCTTTAAAGGAAGCGAAGCAGCTTAAAGCTCCACAGTGTTTCCTGCTGCCTCTGAAACGGGACGTTGTTTTCCTCATGGCAACCCTGGACCTGCGTCTGGTGCAGCTGCTGACTCAGACACCAGAGGACTGCAGGCCGCCTGGCAGGCTTCTTCTGCTGGCTTCTTATTTTAGTGAAGGTCGCAGCTTCAGGTGGAAACAAGCCTCAGTTCAGCCTTTTAACAAGCGACTCTGGTTCTTTTTGTCGTATTTCAAGGCTAGTCTGCCCTCTACTGGTAACATGTGGACATCCCACTGCTGAGTCTGTTTACACACAGTGTTGACCACGTGACAC